AAGTTATGAAAACTACATCAAATATGAGCAATAAATTAACTGGCTATAGAATTATCGATTTTACGTATTTATATTTTATACATTTTCTACATTGACCATGTAACGTTTTATAATTGGCCAAAAATAACATGAAATTTTTGAAAACAAGAGTTCAAAGCTCATTCGTAATAGAAATACTCAGGATTTATTTCTATGAGAAGAACCTGAATAGTAAATGTAAAGTCATTATCGAAGCCTAAATCTCAAAAATCCACTAAACAGTCATCCACTAAAATGTTCTTTCTGGGTCATCTTAAACCTAACCTTCTTATTGTGTGCTTTTAAAAACAACACAATAGTTTTCACTTGAGTACCAAATATGACAAACGCTGTGCTAGAAGTTCTGTCCCTTCAAAGAAGGGGGCGCTGCTCCACTCGCAGGTTTGTGCACAGCTTGCAGGTGCCTGGGAAGCACTGTGGACTCGCTGCGCAGAAGTAGACAGCTGAGTCTCCAGGCTGGGTGGCTTCGATGCGCAGGGAGAGCTGTTTGTCCGCCTTCCTCGGTATAACAGAGAATCTTCCAACTTGGTTTTCCATCTTATTTGAACGAATATCTATAATGAGCTGAGGACCTTTTCCAGCTTCTTGCTTATACCAAAGGAAGTATACTGAAGCACTGTCTGAATAAGTACAGAAGATAAAAAAGCTGTTCCCCTCCTGGACACTCAGGGTGGAAGGATGCCGATCCATTTTTTTCTCCTCGGGTGATCCCTATGCAGAAAAAAAGTCAGAGAAAGGAGAAGCCTTACCAGATCATTATGCTTCAGAATTTTCTTGTTCTACTGAAACTAGAGGAAACCCGAATAAAGCCAGTCTTGGCTTCTAAAGAATACCACTGATACACTCTCATAAACCCTCAACTCACAGTCCGTCTGCAGCCACAAGAAAATGAATAAAACTCTAAAGGATGTCTTCAGCATTCTTCCCATTTAGGATCCACTATGGACCTGTAATCTAGAGACAGAGGAGATTCTCCCATCATCAAAATATCCCTTCTTTTCTCTGACAAACATAAGAGTTTCTCACATGCACTACTCAGCCAATAGGAGAAAGGCTATGCTTCTGCTATAGGCTATTCGTTTAGAATCCACTAAAATGAACCTTCCACATATTCAGCATCAGCAGAGGAGCACCACCGCCTTGTGGTCACATCTATAACTACTGAACTTGCTGGTTCAATGTTCTTTGACCCTGTGCCTATAGAGACTCAGACACGTAGTGGCAGCAATAGGTCAAACAAAGTAAGCTTTAGATCAGAGATCAAGTAAGAATGTAGAGAACTGATTTCTATCTCTGTTCTCTACTGAGTCATTGTCTAAATGTTGGAATGAAGCAGATGCTGTAGGTATTTTACAACGATGGCCTGGGTTTACATGTTTGCATCAGATAAGTGCCATTATTCACTTTCTTGTTTATTTTTTTAAATTAAATTTTTTTAAGATGACGTTGGTTAACGAAATCCAATGTTTCAAATGTACATTTTAACAATAAGGCATATGTATATTTACCTCCCATAGTTAGATTTCTTTCTGTCACCACATATTTGACCCCCTTTAACCCATCTACTTTTCCTTTTCCAACATCTTACCATCTAGTAATCATTAGACTATATGCCCATGAGTCTCTGTTTGTCTCTCCAGTTCATTTGTTGCTTTTAGGTTTATATCCCACATATAAGTGATAGCATGTGATTACTAACCTTTTCTGTCTGGCTTATTTTGCTTCGTATGATTATTTCAAGGTCCATCCATGTTGTTGCAAATGGCAGTATTTCATCTCTTCTTATGATAAGTAATATTACATTGTGTATATGTACCACAGCTTCTTTATCCAATCATCTATCATAGGACACTTCCGTTGCTTCCATGTCCTGCTACTGTGAATAATGCTGCTACGAACAGTGGTGATTATTCACTCTTTTAAACAAAGAAAATATATAACCTTCTTTCTCAACTAAATCTATTATAGAGAAAATCTGAGTGAAATGGTGTCAATGTGACTAAAGTAAAAGGAACATGTAAGTCAAAGGTCAGAATAAACGAAGATCATTCAATATTTCCAATGCCTATTTTCTCAGACTGTCCCTCTAAGCTGATCTTGCTCTTCCCTTGACCTTACTATTCCAAGAGAATTTGCAGTCTTAACAGTCAAAATGAAAATCTTCCCTCACTCAAGATGACTGTGATAAAAAGTAAAGGATCTCAGTGATGAGAGGACAGAGAATATCTTCCATGAGTTATTAATATTTGAACAATAGGAACAATATGATTCATAGATTGGGTTGATTTATAATGAAAAATCTGACATGCTTTTAAAAATCCATTTCAATGCTATGTGTCTTATAGTCTGCAAAGTATTGAAAGAGTACAGATTCTGAGAGAATATCAGGCTGCAGATTCAGAAAATATAACCACATGTGAGTTGATTCTTGAGATGCTTTCATTTTTCAAATCAAACGAATGGCATGTCCTAAAATGTAAGTACCGACACATATCCTTACTGGAATGTCTTCTAAAGTGTAAGCCAACTCTCGTGCCAT